AGATATAAAAGTACCTAGTAAGAAAGGGGTCCTCAAAATTGGTTATACATTACAATCCTTCAGGAAGCTTTAAAAGCCTGACGTTGTCCTACCCCAGATTCTGATTTAATTGGTCTAGAATGTGGCTTAGACATCAGGGTTTTTAAAGCTTAGCAGGTGATTCTATTATGTAGCCCAGGTTGAAAACTACTATAAAAAGAGAGACTACCAAAAGAGAAAAAAAGCTATTTGACTACTTTACTATCAAACATCAACAGAACTATTGAAAAGTTGGAATTTTCATGGAAAAGATCTACATATTTGATCTTCACTCTCTGGGTCACTGTCATAGAGATTTGATAAAACAGTTTGCATTTGTTTCATTAAAGGCATGGACAGGGTATAGTATAAGATAAATACCAAAAACATATTATTACAGGAGTGGAAATAATTAGTTTTTTAAAATAAATACTGGTTCTAACATATATGATTCCCACAGGAGACACGTATCCAAAATCAGTATTTTTTCTTTTTCAATTTTTTTGCTTTTATTATTTTTAAGTGACACATAATAATTGTACCTTTTATGGGGCACAGTATGATATTTTGATACATGTATACAATGTGTAATGATCAAATCAGGGTAATTAGCATATTCAATAGCTCAAACATTTATAATGTCTTTGTGTTGGAAACATTTAAAATCTGCTTTTTAAGCTATTTGAAAATATACAATAAATTGTTAATTATAGCTACCCTACAGTGCTATAGAAACTAGCTCATATACCTCCTACCTAGCTATAATTTTGTATGTTATCCAACCTCTTACTAACCCTACAAACCTTCTACCGTTCCTTGCCTTTAATAACCTCCGGTCTACTCTCTACTTCCATGAGATCAGTTTGTTTTTTAGCTTTCACACATGAATGATAGATAACGTGCAGTATTTTTCTGTGCCTGGTTTATTTTACTAAACATAATGTCCTCTAAGCACGTCCATGTTGTCGTTCTTTTTTTTTTCAGTGGAATAGTATTCTATTGTGTATATATGCCATATTTTCTTTATCCATTCATCTGTTAATGGACACTTAGGTTGATTCTATATCTTGCCTATTGTGAATAGTGTTGCAGAAAAAAAAAAAAAACAACTGTAAAAGTGCCTTTCAACATACTTATTTCTTTTCCTTTGGATTTAGACCCAGTAGTGGGATTGCTGGATCATATGATAGTTAGTTCTATTTTAGTTTTTGAGGAACCTCAATACTGTTTTCCATAATGGCTTTATTAATTTACATCCCCACCACCAGTGTATTACAGTTCCTCTTTCTCCACATCCTCACCAGCACTTATTGTCCTAAAGCAGTATTTTAAAGTTTACGTTGCTATATAAGTTGGAAACAGGAAATTCTAATGATGGATAATGAAACACGGACAAATGGCTTAAAACAGATTTCTATTATATGCATTATTTCTTTAGTGACTTTGATATATCATTATTATTTAAATAAACTAAACACTGGAAAAATAAATGAACCTTGTAAAAATCAATAAAATATACACACTCCAAAATATGATTTATTATATTTATTTTTCCAGACCTTTTATTCGATTATTTAAGGGTTCTTTCTCCCTGATATGATTTGGCTCTGTGTTCCCACCAAAATCTCATCTCGAATTGTAATCCCCACATATCAGAGAAGGGGCTTGGTGAGAGGTGATTAGATCATAGGAGTGGATTTCCCCCTTGCAATTCTGGTGACAGTGAGTCATGAGATCTGATGGTTTAAAAGTGTAAGAACTTCCCCTTTCCCGTTCTCTCTTTCCTGCTGCCATGTGAAAAGACATGCTTGCTTCCCTTTCACCTTCCGCCATGATTGTAAGCTTCCTGAGACCTCCCAGTCATGCTTCTTGTGAAGCCTATGGAACTGTGAGTCAATTAAACTTCTTTTCTTCATAAATTACCCAGTGGTTCATAAATTGCTCAGATAGTTCTTTATTGCAGAGTGAGAATGGACTAATACACCTTCCCTCTTTCCCCTTTTCCTCCTGTAAATATTAAGTTATTATAATGTAATAATATCTTTGCTGGGTACCAAAAATATGAAGGTAAGTAAGATATGCTCCTTACTCTGATGGAGCCTATGTTTAGTAGTAGACAAACAGACCAACATTTAAAAATCAGTTACGGAGGACTATAAGAAATGATGCTCAGGATGGGCATTAATGAGGCAAACAACAAAGGAAAATATTGTGGAAGAGATGACCCCAGATCTGAGTCTTAAAGGATGTTTGAGAGTTATTCAAGAGAAGCGACATAGATAAATGCTGTGCATATGCAGCATGTACAAAGAGCCAGCAATGTGTACAAAGCCAAGGAGCAAGAGAAAACATAACTGTGGAAGATGATGGTGATCATGGTGAGAACTGCTGTTGACCCAATAACACAGAAAAAAATATTGTGAATACCTTTCAACATAATAAAACTTTCCTTATACAGTAGAAGGTAGACCTTTGAGCATGAGCATGGCCACTCCCGCTGCACAGAACAAAAGCTACTGAGCTTCCACGTATGATCTGGCATGGTATTCACTATGTATATACTACATTGACAACTGAATTTTGGCCATATCTCCATGAAAAACTACAGAGACATTAGAGTGTTGTACCCATTCATGTAAATGTTTATATCGTAAAGTCCTTGGTACTTCCTATTTGCTAATTTAGTAGAAAGCCTAAATGAAGGTAATCCTAAACAAAAATCTAAGTTCTAGTCAGTCTTTGAATGCCAACCAACCTCTTTGGTCTGGCCTAGCTTAATGGCATATTCTAGGAAATAAAAAATGCAGAATGGCTAGATCATGTGGCACAGAGTGGGGACCGGTAGAAATTGAAGTAAACAGGGGTGAGAAGATGACAGTACCTAAACACTTTAGTGAGATCTTTATCTTGAGGAAGTGGGAAAGCCATAAAAATTTTTTGAGAGACGTAATAAGACTAGATTTGCACTTTAAAACAATAAGTAATGATACTGTAAGAAGGGATTCAATAAGGAAAGACTAGTCAGAAGGCTGCTCTAATGATATAGGTGAGAGATGACGAGATGGCTTGAATGTCTGTGGCACTTGAGAAAAAGACATGGGAACAGATGGTAGATACAGAGTCAGTAGTGTGTGAAGGGAAAGGGAGAAGGAAAAGGAAGTATTCAGAAACACTCCAGGGTTTCTGGCTGGACAACTGCATGAATAATGGTTTCATTCTCTGAGATAGAAGACAGGAGGGGAGCAGGTTTTGGAGAGAAGATGATGAGTTAAGTTTGGAGGATGCTGTATTTGAGGGGCCATAGGATATGTTAAACAGGCAACTCTACAGCCAAATCTGGATATGTATTGAAAAGTAGAAAACTAAAGAAATGAAGGTATCTTGTGAATATGAAATATCAAGTATAAAAATAAGGCTGATGGGAGGGTTAAGAAAACATAACATTAAAACGTGTTTAAAAAATATAAGAAACAGGGAAGAATGGTAAGGTGTAAACTGAAACAGTGTGTGATGCAGAATTCAGAAAATGAAGGACATTAAAAACCCAATTGTTACCATGAACAAATCTCTTTTCTACAAATGTTTCTCATGAAAATAAGAGCACTCCCTTTACTCCCCCCACCCCCAACTTTTTTTTTTGGGGGGGGGTCTTTTGTTTTGTTTTGTTTTTGGATAGAAAAGAATGTGGTATTTTGAGCTATAGTGTCTGCTGGAAATTTTGTTTAACAAAATTTAGTAACTGGACACCCCAACTTTCTGAGAATTAAATAAAACAAAAAGTCTCCTCCAAATATAGCAAAGACATAGCTCACCTGAGGTGCTTGGCACAAGTACATGGGGAATGTGATGTAAGCATTTCTTTCTCTACAAAAATGCATCTAAGGAGAGTATGAAAAGTTTGTCTCAACACAGTTGACATATAATCATTGTGAGTTTAAACTAAATGCGTTAATCTGGACAAAAGCAGTACTGGCAGATTTCTTTTTTCTTCATTAAGCAATGACCTAGCACGGAATAATGCATTGCTTACAGCAGCTGCCTCATCTTTGAAATCACAAGTATAGTTTAAAAACACTGCCCACAATGGAAATGCATGTGCCCTAGATCAGGGTTCCCATAAACACATCCAGTAAGAATATGGACCATGCTTTCCATTCTTTACTGTACAATTAATTTAAAAAATCTATAGGGAGAAATCTATGATTCCACCGCACCCAATTTGTTTTCTGTGTGTGAATTTATATTAGCTAGGGCAAAGGGGCTATATATCATATTAAGCACACACATATTTCTTGTTTGCCATTTAGCACATACACAAAGACCCATGCATACAAACACAACACACAGATAACTGAGTAATACTTTCTTTAAAGTGCTGAACTTTCATAGATTGGTAGCATTCTCTAAGAGTTCACACACAAAGATGGATACATTGGAAGTATAACTCTAGGACAACCAAGTGAAAACAAATATCAAATATCACTTTGAGATATAAAAGCATACAACTCACTGTTATCTTTCCTGCCAGCTTCTGAACATATGGGTATTATTTCTGTTTTGTCATGTCACACAGAAAAAGCTTCTCTGAGTTTCTCCCAAAAATCTACTTACAGAAAAGCAGTTACTAGAGATTCTCTAGGAGTGAGACAGAGGTGAGTGAGGGTTCTTAAATGCTTTTATCTACTTGAACTACCATGTGTTATGCCTAAAGTAAGAGCAATACATCCAGTAACTTTAAATGTGCCCTCCCTCCGCCTTTTATTTCCCACAAGAAAATAGAGTTTAAGATTGATTCAACTTTATAACAAGAAATAAGAGTGGAGCTACTTGTTGAAATATTGCCTCCTACTGGTAAGATCATCTCATTTGATTTATAAAGCAATGGAGTATAGCATATTTGTTCACTCTGCCATTCTTCACAATTTAAAATTACGGTTGGATAAGTGGCCCAGTAAGTTTTAATTTGATAGTACTTCCAAAAAGGCATTTCATTAATGTTTATTTGATTTACAAACTTAATTCCTCTTATTAATAAAATAATCAATATTTCCTATGTACAGTTAACTGTAAAACAAAAACTTAGATTAAAAACAAAACTTTAGGAGGAATAAGTTCTAGTGTTCTATACCACTGTAGGATAACTATAGTCAACAACAGTATATTACATAGTTTGAAATAGCTGGAAGGAACATATTAAAGGTTCGTAACACAAAAATGCTTGAGATGATAGATATGCTAATTACCTTGATCAGATCACTGTATATTATATGAATGAAAACATTATTATATAGCCCATGAATAGGTACCATGATTATTTATAAATCAAAAATAAAATTAAAACCAAAAACAAAACAAAACTTAATTTACTAAAAATAATCTTTGTTGTTATATCCCAAAAGTCCTAGAAACCTACGTACAAATGTGTGAGAGTGATAGTTATCTTGTAGAAGCAATAAGATAATTACTTAATAATCTGATAGTTCTGAGTTACTGAAACAACACTTTTCATTCAGTAAAGCAGCAAGGAGACAACTTTTCATTATATATTTTGGGAGAGATAATACAAAATCAGATAATCAAAAATAATTTTTATTTGACTTTAGAATGTTGTAGTACACAAAGTGAAATGTGTCTGTGGGATACTCTAAATTTGCCAACTTCAAACAAAATAATGCACAGTGAAGAATTAGAAAATTATCAGTCTTTCTCAATACATGGAATTATTCCTTAATCTTTATCATTGTCATCAAACAAAATAATATTTTGGATGAGTTCAACATTTCTATTAGGCGCTTTATATTTAGTGCCTTTCCTGAATTGGAAAAAATGAGATATTTTATTTAAACTTAACACTGGGCTAAGGTAAATATAGAATTAAACAAGAATCAGGTTGTCACAACCTTACAACATATATCAAAGTATTGAAATTGCTGGTTTAGTAACTATCACTTTTCACTGGATATTAAATATTCTGAGGGCTACAACTGTATTTTTTTTAACCTAACCCAGTACCGCCACAAAATTTTCACTGAATGTATGAATAAATGAAGTTAACAAAAAGTTAAAAATATAATTTAGATCGCTTTAATTTTAAAATCTGAAAGAAAAACTAGAGTCACAAAACGTATGTTCCAATCTTCATCACAAAGTATATGATTTTTGACTTCCACCTCAGTGAAGCACAGTTTTCTCAGCTGAATAAAAGGGATAATGCCTATGTATTTCAGAGTAGCTATAAAGGTAAAATGAGGTAATGTTTGTAAAAGACCTTCAGAAATACCAAACATTATTATTTGCTATCATGCTACCACATATACATGTAGGAAATACGTATATTAAATAAGAAAAATTTCAAAATGCAATGTGATAATTTACATTAAATATATGTACCATTTTTTCCCAAATGAAAACTTAACTCCTCTCTTTAGTTGACAAACATACTCAAAACCACTCACCCAAAAAAAGTCCCTTCCTTCAAGAAGCAGTCCCAGCCTTTTTCTCTTCTCTAGTAAATACTGTCAAAGAAGAGTTGACACCTATGCATCTTCTTCCTCAATGCACTGAAAGCTGACTTAATGACCACTGCCTATAGAACAGTTTCAATACATTTAATCCACTGAGTTCTTTTTAATTATCACTTTATTTTATCCCTCAAGATTTCTTTCTGAGAACTTTCCACACCTATCCTGGCTTCTTCAAAACAACTACCCTATTTTTTCTTACGTTTATGACTAATTTTTTTTACCCCTTCTGCTTCTTATTCTTGAAATGCAGGTGTTTTATAGGGTTATATTCTTAAATTTCCTTTTTTCTCATCCTAATTTCTGCCTAGATGATCCAACCTGCTCCAATAGAATCAGGCATCATTTCTATATCGTGAGCTTTGAAATCTTTGTCTCTGTCTCAGGTTTCCTCCTAAGTTCTAGGTCTATATTTCTAATTATTAATGAAAGATTTCTATGTGGATGCCCTTCATTCTATGTAAAGTCAAGCTCATTATCCTTCTCTCTTTTCCCAAACCTTCTCCCTCCCTTTACTGCCAATCTTGGTAAGCAGCCAAGCAGAAATCTTAGAGTCATTAATGACTTTTCCGCTCTTCCTCGCCTCTTACTTCCATTATCTAGTAACGGGAGCTATTGATTCCATTTCCGAAATGTCTCTTTAATCCATCCACTCCCTTCTCTCTTTTAATTTCCACTTCCTTCACTGGACCTTCATTATTTCTTTTTAAATATTTTGACCACCTCTTATCTAGACTCTATGCTTTGGTCTCACACAATTTAAATCCATCCTGTTAAGTTTGATGCCATGGAAATAAAAACACTTTTTTTTTCTTCTGCCTACTTATTGCCTGGAAAATAAACTGCAAGCTCTTTGACACTGCATTTGAGACCCTTACTTATCTGTTTCCAACCTGTTTTTCCAGCCGTAACTCCTGGCCACACCCTTCTCTCTCTAGAATATGTTATGCACTTTCAGTTTCATGCCCTGGTTCATGGCGTTCCCTCTACCTGTTATCGTTATTCCTCATTTGCCAAAAGCCTCGACATTTTTCGGGCCCATGTGATATGTGATTTTCTCTGTCATATTTTCTCTATCCTACCTTCTGGGTAAAATTAACCTCTATTCCTTCTGTTCTCTTCTACTGCTATTAAAATTAAATTTAAGTTGTATCTCCTTCACTGTATTAGACTCAAAGGAAAAAAGTCGTGTTCATTTTGATTCACCTATGCTTAACACAATGCCTGACCAATAGAGGGTATCCAATAATACTGAACTGAACATATCTATTCCTGATCTGTGTAATAAACAGGGAGAACAAACTTTAAGAATAATTCTCATGCATAAAATATATTAGCTACAACATACTGATTTTTGTCAGTTATTACTATAATTAAGTGAAAATAATTTGGCTTTGAATAATAGTAAAAATGTGCCCTAAAGATGAATTATCCATTGTAATCCATTTGGTTTTAAGTAAATCAAACAGCTAAATTTCTCTCTTGCAGTCAGTTTGGAAGGAGACAGGAAACAGTTATGCAAAAATCCAGTCAAATATCTGTAAAATACATGGAAATCAAATATGAGACCCTTACTAGTGTTAATAGAATACCAAAGTAAGTATCATGAAGTCTGTTAAAGTTTTTCTGTATGTTAAAGAGCTAAAAACATTGTAAAGAGTAAAAAATAATATTAATTCAGCTTGAAGTAACCTTAGGGAAAATTACATATATGCTAAAGGGACAATGTTAAATCACTGTCATGATATATATTTTATAACTCTAACAAAACCATCTCTAATAAATACTATTTTAAGGAAATCATATTCAATCTTGCTCTAGACTTTATATCATGTGTCAGCAAACTATAGCCTATAGGCCAAATCTGGCCCCTCACCTGTTTATTTTATTTTTTAGAGACAGGGTTTATGTTATCCATGCTATACTCAAACTCCTGGCCTAAAGCAGTCCTCCTACCTCAACCTCCCAAGTAGCTGAGACTACAGGAGCAGGGCCATTGTGTCTGGCTCCCTCACCTGATTTTTGTAAACAAAGTTTTATTAGAACACAGTCATATTCATTCATTTCTATATTATCAGTATCTGATGTTGCTCTACCTCTACAATGGCAAAGTTGAGTAGCTGAGACACACACTGTATGCCCCACAAAGTCTAAAATATTTACTGTCATTTTAAAAGAAAAATTTGGCCAACTCCAACTGCAGATAATCATTTGGAAATCTAGTTGAAAATCCAGCTAGTTTGTATGTAAGAATTTCTTATTATTCTAGAATTTAGAATCTTTATGCAAAAATTTATTTTCAAAAATAAAAACATGAAAGTTGTAAGGGTGTTATGATAGGGAAGGTACAGATGTCAAGTACATAGTAGAGAGAAAAGAAAAACATACATACCTTTTTAAAGGTTAAATTATTTTATTTATATACTTTTAATATAAGCCTGCCTAATTATTATTGATTAACTAGAAAAAGTAATGGCTGCTCTTTATAATAGAGTGTTACTGAAAATAAACTTTGCTACCATTATTACATCACAAAAAAACTAGAAACATCATTCTTCCTGTAGGAATAAATGAGTAAAGTTAAACATAATTAATTGTTTTTTTAAAATGAGGGGAAGAAAAGGCTAAAAGAGGAAGAAAGAGAAAAGGAGGGAGAGGTGGAGAGAGGGACGAAAGAGAAAAAACGGAAAGAGGAGAGAAAACCTACTGTACCTCATTCTCTAATTGATATGAAGCCAATTTGTGTACCAAAATTAAGGCCATCTCGGACATGGGAGAAAAACTTGTCAGGATGGCAAGATGTACAGAGGTTGAGATCTTGGTTCTTGTCCTGAATATTCTGTGGAAGAATTCCTCCCCGTTCTAGAAGAATCCTTAGGAAAAACATTTTTCAAAAGAGAGCAAGAGTTTATTTTCACAATTGCCAAAGCAATATGAAAAAAAGTATGGATGTTGGCATGAAAGAGTTCTGGGAAAGATATACCTAGGACAATGCATATTGTTATTCACTTACAGAACATGGACTAGTCAGGAAAAAAAAATGCAACACTTTATTAACATTTATCACCTAAGTTCAAATATGCACAGTATTGTCCTATGGACATAATCTAGATACAGAACTTTATAATCAAAATCAAGGGCTTACTTAAGAAGAAATCTCTATAAAAGTTACCAGGGTACTAGACAAAATTCATCTGGCTCAGCCAGAGTATCAGAGTGTGCTTTTTAGTCATCTGGCCCTTCATCTCCTTTCCTTCTACTGGCCAAATTTTTCACAGAAAACTTGCTTCTTCATGAACACTTTATGATATCAAATATGACTAAAAATTAGTAATACTTGATTCAAAAAGTCACATTTAAGAATCAATTTTGGCCGGGAGCAGTGGCTCAGGCCTGTAATTCCAGCACTTTGGGAGGCTGAGGTGGGCGGATCATGAGGCCAAGAGATCAAGACCACCCTGGCCAACACGGTGAAACCCTGTCTCTATTAAAAAATACAAAAATTAGCTGGGTGTGGTGGTGCGTGCCTGTAGTCCCAGCTACTTGGGAGGCTGAGGCAGGAGCATTGCTTGAACCTGGGAGGCGGAGGTTGCAGTGAGCTAAGCTCGCGCCACTGCACTCCAGTCTGGTGCCTGGTGACAGAGCAAGACTCTGTCTCAAANAAAAAAAAAAAAAAAAAAAGAAAAAAGAATCAATTTCAATATTTTCCACGTCTGTGCTAAATGAGGCAGACTCTGGGTAAGGTTTTGGTGACTGGAATAGAAACATGATTTAATAAACACATTAATTTGCCTTTGTAGTAATGACAATTTCAACAGTTATTAATAGCGAAACTTCATAAACTAAAAAATGCAAGGAACTGTAAAAATCTTGAAAGTAAAAAACTGTGTATATTATTTAATATTTTTTCTAAAAAATATATTCCTCCAGTTAATTAGATAATAAGAATAATTTAAAAATATCAGCTTCCTGATAGTTCATTACAGTTAGGAGAATTTAGCTGAGGAATGGCTGTGAAGTATAGTACATGCCAATTTTTCTATATGAAGTTTAAGTAGATCTCTTAAAACTAAATGCCAAATGTTTCCAAAGGATTATAAATCGTTCTTTTATAAAGACACATGACGACGTATGTTCACTGCAGCACTGTTTACAATAGCAAAGACTTGGAACCAACCCAAATGCCCATCGATGATAGACTGGACAGGGAAAATGTGGCACATATACACCATGGAATACTATGCAGCCATAAAAAACGATGAGCTCATGTCCTTTGTAGGGACATGGATGAACCTGGAAACCATCATTCTCAGCAAACTGACAGAAGAACAGAAAATCAAACACCACATGTTCTCACTTATAGGCGGGTGTTGAACAATGAGAACACATGGACACAGGGAGGGGAGCATCACACACTGAGGTCTGTTGCGGGGGAATAGGGGATGGAGGCAGTAAACCACATTGCCATGTATGTACCTATGCAACAATCCTGCATGTTCTTCACATGTACCCTTGAACCTAAAGTGCAATAAAATATATACATATATATGAAATATCAGCTTCTTGATAGTTCATTACATTTAGGAGAATTTAGCTGAGGAATGACTGTGAAGTAAAGTACACGCCAACTTTTCTATATGAAGTTTAAGTAGATCTCTTAAAACTAAATACCAAATGTTTCTTCCTTCACTTTTAAATCAATGAGAGATACTAGACAGGAAAATTTCTGTTATTCAAACTCAAATGAAAACATATTTCATAAGTAAAATGATTGCTTGTTACATGTGCATGTCAGCTACTTAAATGACCTCCACCTAAAGTCTTCTTAGAGTTACTAATTGTTCTCTAAAATAATTTTCATTTTGGAGCAATAAGAAATAATCAAACTTGCAGTTCTAGAATGAAATTGGACATACCTTGTGGCTTTACGGATGTCAATATAGGGATTTGGTGAGTCAAATAGTTGTACACATGCAGGATGAAGATTATGAAATGCCTCTGCTGATTCTTTTGGAAGAGTAAAACAGCAAGGTCCTACTGATGGTCCAAGTACAACAACAATGTCTTCCAAACTGCAGCCATATTCTGCTATCATAGCATTCACTGTAGCCATAGCAACGCCCAACAAAGTACCTTTCCAACCTGGTAAATAGGAATAAAAAGAGATAAGGAAAGTAAAAACATAGCAAAATTTCACCCAAATTTATGTCTAAGTTAAAAGTGAGAAGATTTAGTTTGTATATTTTTCTAAGTCCAGAAATAATAAATGAACCACATTATAATGTGGTTTTTTAAAGTGAGATATACTACACAAAGCACCTGACACAAAATAGTCATATAATGGGAGCTTTCTCATCTTCCTTTTAAAAATGCTCTATACTTTTAGTTTCCAATGAGATCATCGCTTCTTCGTCTTCACTCTCTTTTTCATATTTTAAAAGATTGTGGTTAAAAAAAACCCCACAAAATTTACTATTCTAAGTATACAGTTCAGTAGTGTTAAATTCACATTGCTGTATAACCTATCCCCAGGATTTTTTCATCTGATAAAATGGAAACTATACAACTATTAACAATAACTCCTTGTTTCTTCCTTTTACCAGGCCCTGGCAATCACCACTCTTCTTCCAGTGCCTACACATTTGATTACTCTAGGTATATTATATAAGTGAAATCAGTACAGTATTTATCTTTTTGTGACTGGCTGATGTCAACTAGCATAATGTCCTTAAGGTTCATCTGTACTGTAGTATGTGTCAGAATTTCCTGCCTTTTTAAAGCTAAATAATATTCCACAGTATGTACATACCACATTTTGCTTATCCATTCATCTACCAATGTACCTTAGATTGCTTTCACCTTTTGGCTATTGTGAATAATTCTGTTATCAACATTGGTGTGCAAATATCTCTTTGAGTTCCTGATTTCAATTATTTTGGATATACTTCCAGAAGGGGAATTTCTGGATTATATAGTAATCTATTTGTAACTTTTTGAGAAACTGCCATACTGTTTTCCAGTATGGGGCTACAAAATTTCACATTCCCACCACCAGTGCACCAGGGTTCCAATTTCTCTACATCCTCAAAAATGCTTATTTTCTGAGGTTTTAAAATATTAGCCATCCTAATAGATGTGACGTAATATTTCATTGTGGTTTTGATTTGTGTTTCTCTAACTTCCAATCCATGAACACAGAACTTCTCTCCATTTATTTGTGTCTTCTTCAATGTTCTTCATCAATGTTTTGCAGTTTTTATCTCTCTCTCACTTTTACACCAAAACATATCTTTTATGTTTCAATTAACAGTCTCTTTCTACTCCCCACTTGCCCAGACTATCATTCCCTTGCCATCTTTGTCTTATCTACCTCGCAGAGTTCTAAGATAAAACCATGTTATTTATTTCTGCTACCATCTTGTTGCCAAAGACAGAAAGCTAAGAATATTGCATTTTTCCTTTATTCCCTATATCTGAGTTTGATTCAGCTGATCTGGCTGGCCAATAATGAGTCCCCTTACACTTTCCTTAAGTACTCCATACTCATACTCTCCAAAAGCTAGGCACTCAGGTGAAGAGATCAATTTTTCCAGACAAAAGGAGATGATGAAAGCAAGAAGTATGTAGGTGATACGTCTGGCCTCCACAGGTAACCCAGTAGATATGTGGTTATGGGAAGAACAGAATGAAGACATCAAGTTTCTATCTCTAAGTAGGTAGGATATCAATAATCAAAATAGAAAACCTAAGTGGCACAGAAGACTTTAGGAAAAAAATGTTGAGTTTTTGACATAATGATTTGAGGCACCTAGAAAGATGCAAACAGTGATGTTCAAAGGGAAGCAACTAGATATAGACATTTTGAGTTAAAGAGAGAAATTGTCAGGGCTTTTCTACAGATTACAGTATCTCTCTTCTTTGGTGAGCCTCCTTAATTATCTTCTCACCTGTAGTTCATCTACCTCCTTTTTATTTGATTTTTCTCCTACAGCACATGTACATATATATATATATATATATATATATATATATATATATATACACACACACACATACCTAGTTAAAAGATTTTTTAAAAAAAGTCCCATAGAATAATTTTATTCTTTTTGACATCTGATAAAATAAGTATAAAATGTAACTATTATATTTTAAAGTTAATTTATTTTAATTTTTCTAACTTTTTAGGTTCAGGGGGTACATATGCAGGTTTGTTACATGGGTAAATTGCATGTCACTGGGGTTTAGTGTACAAACGATTTCACCACTCAAGTAGTGGACATAGTACCCAATAGACAGTTTTTCAGTCCTCACCCTCCTCCCAGCCACCACCCTCAAAAAAGCCCCCATGTCCATTGTTCCTCTCTTTGTGTCCATGTGTACTTAATGTGTAGCTCCCACTTAAAAGATACTTGCGATATCTGATTTTCTTTTCTTGCATTACTTAAGATGACTTCCAGCTGCATCCACATTGCTGTAAGGGTATGATTTCATTCTTTTTTATGGCTGCATAGTATTCCATTATGTATGTGGACCACATTTTCTTCATCCAGTCCACCGTTGATGGCATCTAAGTTGATTCCATGTCTTCGTTATTGTGAAAAGTGCTGTGATGAGCATATGTGTACATGTGTCTTTATGGCAGAATAATTTATATTTCTTTGGGTTTATACCCAGTAATTGGATTACTGAGTTAAATGGTAGTTCTAATTTTAAGCTCTTTGAGAAATATCCAAACCACTTTCCACAGTGGCTGAACTAATGTACACTCATACTAGCAGTGTATAAGCATTTCCTTTTCTCTATAATCTCACCAACATCTGTTATTTTTTAACTTTTTTATAACAGTTATTCTGGTATGAAATGGTATCTCATTGTAGTTTTGCTTTGCATTTCTGTAATGATTAGTGATATCAAGAATTTTTTTATTTGCTTGTTGACCATGTGTATGTCTTCTTTTGAGAAGCATTTGTCCATGTCCTTTGCCAATTTTTTAATGGGATTGTTTGTTATTTGCTTGTTGATTTAAATTCCTCATAGATTCTGGATATTAGAGCTTTTCAGCTGCATAGTTGGCAAATATTTTCTCCCATTCTGTAAGTTTTCTGTTTATTCTGTTAATAGTTTCTTTTGCTGCGCAGAAGCCCCTTGGTTTAATAGGGTCCTATTTGTCTATTTTTGTTTTTGTTCGCTCTTGAAGTCTGTGTCATGAAATCTGTCCTAAGGCCTATGCCTATGTCCAGAATAGCAGTTCCTAGGTTTTATTCTAGGGTTTTTATAGTTTTAGGCTATACGTTTAAGTCTTTAATCCACGTTGTGTTGGTTTTTGCATATGGTGAAAGGAAGGGCTCTAATATCAATCTCCTTCATGTGGCTAGCTAGTTATCTCCATACCATTTATTGAATAAGGAATCCTTTCCTCATTGCTTGTTATTGTTGACTTCATCGAATATCAGATGATTGTAGGTATGTGTCTTTATTTCTAGGTTCTCTAACCTGTGCTATTGGCCTACGAGTCAGTTTTGGTACCAGTATCATGCCGTTTTGGTAAGTGTAGCCTTGTAGTACAGTGTGAAGGGAGGCAATGAGATTACTCTAGTTTTATTTTTTTGCTTAGGATTGCATTGGTTATTTGGGCTCTTTTTTGGTTTTATATGAATTTTAAAATATTTTTTCTCTAAATCTGTAAAAAATGACATTGGTAGTTTGATAGGAATAGCATTGAATCTATAAATTGCTTTTAGCAGTATGGCCATTTTAACAATATTGATTCTTCCTATTCATGAGCATGGAATGTTTTACCATTTGCTTATGTTACCTCTGCTTTCTTTCAGCAGTGCTTTTTAATTCTCATTGTAGAGATCTGTAACCTCCCTGGTTAAGGTAACTGTATTCCTATGTATTTTATTCTTTCAAAGTTAATTTATTAATGACTTGAAATTCACATTAACTTCATTTTGACTGCTTGATCTTGGATATTTTTAAACTAAAATGTTTCCAAACCTAAGAAGTAAAAAAATAATATCCCCTTTTTATATCCAGGAGCCAAGACTCAAATTTTAAATAACTTTTTGACAATGTCATGTAGTAAACCTGACTTCTACTCATTCAATTCCATTAGTTCAGTTAGATCAAAATTAAAATATGCTACTTTCTTTTTTAACTATGAACTAAAAAGCAAAGTAGCCACAGATTTACAAGCAGAAGGAAATTTTAAAAATCATCCCTCCTTTCACGCAAAATCACAGCTACTGGGTAATCTAAAAACTATTTTAAAATACCTTCAGAAACCAAAACTCCATATCCTTAACACAATTTATCTTCTAAAAATACTTCTTTGCTCTCAGAGAATAGTTACAGTTAAATACATTAAGTGATTTAAACTAAACACAGTTTTCAAAACATCTTGCTTTTTCCTATCTTCCTAGCTTTACACACGCTGCTCCATCTGGGTGAACATCTTTTTGCAACATGCCTAACATTCCTATTCCCTATGGCCTAGATTTCAAGGATTCTCAACCAGAGGCAGTACCACTTCCCTAGGCAGTGTTTTGAAAAGCTTGGAGGGTTTGGTTGTTGTTTGATTGGTTGGCTGGTTGTGATTATTACAATAACTGGAGGTGCTACTGTCATTAAGAATTTCAGGGGCTAAAGACAATCTGCAATGTGGGATTATCTTGCCCAAAAGGTTAATAGCACCCTTGCTGAGGAACACTATTACCTAGCCAAAACCAACAAATTCCTCAGGAATCAACCTAGGTGCCACCTCCTTTGGGAATTCTACTATAATTCACATAATTTGATGTGGATACTTCTCTTATCTGTCCCTGTAATAAAACTATGCCACCTCCTCCTATCATTACACTTAGCACAATGTAATGTAATTAACTGTTTACCATGTCCATCAGAAAGAAATTGCAATTTTTCCTGCACAACAAAATGAATAAAATCTTAAATGTTTAATTAAATATACTTACCAGCGTGAGCAACCCCACATGCTTTTTTGACTGGATCTGCAAAAACTATCGGTATACAGTCAGCACCAAGAGCTGCTATTGTGACTCCTCTCTGATTTGTAGCTATTCCATCATAAGAGTCAGGCTCTTTTCTTCCCATAATCCAGATGTCATTGGAATGATCAGTCTAATACCAAAAATGTGCAACAAAAATGTTTAGGAAGTGGGAATCTCATACAATAAGCTTTTCTGAAGGTACTCACTGTAGTATAAAATTATACAACCAGTGTAAGATTACTAGTATTCATTAAATATATCACTTCTATAGATGGGAAAACACCAAATTTACTTATAATTTAACTATTTCAGCTTTTGGTATTATAATCTCTGATATTTTATACAAAGAAAGGCAGAGTTTAACATTATAAATTTCAATATGGTGAATAACAAACATCTTTCCATGAAGACGGGTAAATCACTTCTTAAAGCACTTGTACAAAATGAAAATTTTTCTTTTAAAAGAAAGTTAATTACCAAATCAATTATACTTTTACTCTTCCCAGACTCAAGCAAAGCTAGAATTCTGTAAGAAACAAGACATAATCTCATCAACTATGACCCTAGTTCCTCCTGAAGTAGATTTAGAAAATAATGGCCCTTCTCTACCACCATTCAGTTGCCTTTCTTCTAAATAAAAAATGGCAGTGGTGGTATACTCTATGAGAATTAACTGTACTTTTACAATTGAGGACTCCAGATGAAATATATAGCAGGCTCTTGAATAATGTCATTTTATTCCATATTTCATTACAATGTTAATAAAAAAATTGATCATCCACTCTGCCACTGAATGTATGAGGTTTGTACCTTCTGCATGGGTTTTCTCTGGGAACTCCAGTTTCCTCCCACATCCCAAAGAAGTGCATGTTACATGAACTGGGGTGTCTACATGGTCCCAGTAGGAGTACCTGTGTGTGTGTGTGTGTGTGTGTGTGTGTGTGTGTGTGTGTGTGGGCACCCTGCAATGGAATGGCATCCTGTCTAGGGTGGGTTGTGGCCTTGTGTCCTGATCTGCCAGGATAGGATCCAGCTACCTGAAGCCCCGAAGTGATAATGTTTATTTCAATGGACTGTTTCAAAGAGCCTGAACTGAAATAATTTGGTAAATAGTTATCTGATTTGTTTTTATTACTCTTTCTTAAATATATGTCTACCTCATATTTATTTCTATGTTTAATACTAGGAATGTGTTGGCCTTTATTTAGAAGCTTGGTGATGTTTTTATGACAAGAAATATGCCTTGTTTATATCAATTCTTAATATGAGCTTAATTCTTGTTTATATCAATTAGCCTATGGTAAAACTGGTTTTATTATGTCTTTTCACTTAATGTCAACAATTTCCAAGAACCTATCAACAACATTAAGTGAGAACTTACTCTGTGTGTGTGCATATATACATATCTCTGTGTGTGTGTGTGTGTGTATGTGTATGAAATAGAACTGATCTTTAGGCTATGGTGTTTAAATCTAGGAAAAACAACCACAACAGTATTCTAAAACTTTAGATAAAATACCAGATACAAAAGTTAATTAGCTTAAAGTCCATGTAGTTACTAGTAAAGTAAAAATATACTTTAGATCTGTCAAAATACAAAGCAAAATTTTACCTTTATTCGGTAAAACTTCTCCACATTAAATCCTGCAGCATTTGCCAACCTACGCAGATTTTCTTGAACAACTACCTTGGGATCTCTCCGTTTGGAACTACTGAAGAGATTCAATGAGCTAAGAGTTGGTATATAAGATATCCCACCTGTTCTTGTAGTAAATCCATGTATGAAAATATCTGTTGAAGATAAGCAGTAAAGATTTAAAAGATGCTATACAAAAGACCAGTCTCCCAATTAGACCTTACCTGATTACTGCTACCTGTCCTGGTTATTTGGCTTCTAATTTTTATGGCATTTTGTACCTCCATATGTTCTTATTGCATTCTGCTTTGTATTTGTTTTACTCTCCCTATGAAATTATTGCTCTTCAAAAGGTATCTTGTGTCTCATCTGGCTTTGTTATATCTAACAGCCTATAGCTCACAGTAAATACTGTTTAACCAAGAATTAAGATTGATTGTTTTAAATTTTACTCTTCTATGAAGGTGCTGATGATTTGAAATTTTAGAATTTCTTTTTTTTTCTTTTTCTTTTTTTTTTTTTTTTTT